ACACAGGGGAAAGTGAAGGGTTGATAAGGACCATGCATGTAAAGAGAACAGACAATAGGAAAAGTATGGAGCACAATAAGACTTTTTTTTTTGCCAAGTTGAGTTACCAATGAACCAGCTATGTGTCAAAGCATAAGGCTTACATCAATACAGTCTAGTTCATTTCAAGTAAAACAACTCATATACATTAGAATTACAGAATATGCTGTATTCAGGTCTTCCCATGATATTACATTATTTTTGAGCAAAACTTGTTTTTACTTTGGAGTGATTCTAAAAAGCCCATGGTGACACTATTGGACTGATGACCTTATGACATAAACATTGCTTGGACCAATAGCCAACAGGAAGAAAAGAAGGTTCCTGATTCTGTATTTAGGGAGAGAAACCAGCTCAATATCTCCTCCCCTGTTATCCACTGACTCGCCCTTTAAATTTTGAAGTTAGCACTTAGACTTTGGGAGAAACTAAACCTACAGAAAAAAAAGTTTTAAACAGTGCAAAAAACATATCCCTTATGAATAAAGACACTTTTCATGCCTTGCGGGGAAACTTTCCAGTCTCATAACTTTTTCAGCAGTTCAGCTCAGTTGCGATGTTAAAAACCAGGGTTTGAAACAGAAGCTTGTCTTTATCTTCTTCACTAGTGCCAGCTCGCTCCAAACGAACTCATTTGTGCTGTGGAGGACAGAGTGTTGTGTTAAGGTACATTTTGGTAACTACGACTGTACTATTTAGACTGCCAAAAGTTGTTATTCAAAGAAATCACAATTTTAGGGTTTGCAAATTTCTCTGGAAATCAAATGAAATGTCAATCCCTGTAGAAGGACCTGCATTTGGAAAGATACATTTTTTGACTAATGTTTCAGTATAAAACAACTGCAAATGATTAGTTGACTACTTGCACGTGCATCCTATGGGCATACTCCTGCTGTCACCCAAACTGGAAATGCAGCATGCATATAACAAGTGTGTGCGTCTTTATTCCTGCCTTTGTGGTTTCTAGGCAGACTAAGATCATTATCTAGTCAAATATCTAAAGATATGATACAATGCCCTTCGCTCTATCTCCATAGAGACACATGACTTAGGTGTGTGCGCGTGTGAGCAGGTAATACGTCGCCGACTCCCCCTGGCTTATTCCTGTCACTCAACCATTGCAGACTGTCTTACTGAAAAGGTCACAAGGAAGACAGAGAGCTGAATATTTTAAATAGTTATTGGCTCAAAATAGACAGGCAAGAAAGGGGATGAGAGGTTTGCACCAAAGTCTGAATTATAACAGTTCCAACATCAGCACTCAACACACATTTTTGGTTTGTTCAACATGAAGTCTGACTACACCAGAATGTTCCTACCTGCCCTGCTCAGACTATAGACCAGGTAAATCACCGTCTCAGCTATGCTGCAACCAGCCCATCACAACTGAAGGCAGGACGCCAGGGCCACGGTTTCACTTCCTGCAGACATTTCACACGTACAGCACGTACTTCACATTCTAAACCTTTCATGTCATTCCTTGGATTTTGCTGCTTTGGAAACCCTGTGAGAAAAATCATGCAAAGCTAATACCTTAGTTTTGGCACTCCGTACACAGATACAGAATGTGCTTTAACATGTCTATGTCCCGAACAAACACTGGGTGCACTCTCACATACAAACACACACACACACACACACACACACACACACACACACACACACACACCCTTTTTCGTCTTTGATTCCTGAGTATAATTTTGTCTTCTGTGTAGAATTACACACAGAAGAGGAACAAACAAATTAGTGTCTGTGTGAGTGTAGATAGACAGTGTTAGTGCGTAACACCGCATGTATCCATGTCATTACAAATGACACAACCATTTTCTATCTATTTGTGTGCTGTACACATGTCACACCACCATTCAGTCATCAGATGGTGAACATCTGATTAAAGTGTGTCAGGTGACTCAACCGCAGCACCTCTGCCAAGCCTCCGAGACATCACCGCACCTCAGCACCACATGTTTTTTTAAAATTGCCTTGTCCCTGCTTGTCTGTGTGGAGATTGGTATTGAACAACACCCTATGAGAGCAAAGCAGTCAGACAGGAAGCGATCACAAGTGAATGTAAACACCAGATTGTAATCAGTGACTCGAATCCCTCTCAATTGCAATTAAATTATAGTCGCTGCAAACTGTAGGAGCAGATTCTGAGTAACTTTTTCGTAAGATATGAACCGTTGCATGGAGATATGTCGATGCCCTGATATGCTGCCTGTAACAAATTAGCATTCTTGTTTGGTTGTACATCAGCAAAATGGGTGAGGTAAACCTACTCGCTTGTTCGGAAGCGTTTAACTGTATTACATGGTCCGAATCAGGAGGTATGGAGATCAGAAGATGTCAGTGCCATTTCCAAGTTCAATAGCGACGAGGCAAGACACATTTTAAGTCGATGATATGATGATAAGTGCTTTGGTTTGCAGTTTACGCTGAACTTGCTGTCAGTGTAAAAGAATGTCTACATGTTTGTGTCCCAGTAACCCTTGCTAGCTGTGGTAGATGTCTGTTCCAGTGAGACACCCGAGCCTGGTGAAATGTTGTGGATTGAGCACAATGCCTTCAAATACAATTCTGTGCTCTGTTCAGAGAGTCTTATGTCCGTCTCTGAGGTGATCGTATAATTATGACATGTTTAGAACGACCATTGTGTTTGAAATGTACTGTAAAAACAAACTCACCGTGCGATCTGAAGAGGCGTGTACAGGGTTGGACAAGAAGACAAACATTCTTGACATCAAGCCAAGACTAAAGCAAACACAATTGTTTTTCAACCAACTGTTATTTTATTATAATGTTTCAATGACCGAAAAACCATCCGGTCATGTTTTCACCCAAACAAATGGAGTGACAATTGTTGCATTGTTGTGATTTTTTTTTAACTCCTAGAATAAAACAATTGAATTAAATAATAAATATATAGGTAACAAAAGCAAGACGAGGTCATTGACATTCTCAACTCAAGTCAGGTTTTAAATTCTACTCTTTGCGTTTTGAGTTCTTAACACTTTTTAATGTATTTAAACATGATGTTATTTTGACAATGTTAAAAACAGGAAAATAGTTCAAAAACCCATTCCTCACATTATCTCCCTCCATCCCTGTGTCTTTTTACATACACCCCAGCATTGTGCCATACCACGATGACCTACATACACTAGATTGGAAGATTCATAAGCTTTGGGCTTGAGGAGCAGATCTAGTCTCAAGCTCAAGTCCATGTAAAGTGAAAAGTCACTTTCATATGTCACTTTTTATATGTTTTATTGTAAACAAATCCCATTTAATGACCAAAACCAATTATAAGTTAGTTTATTTCTCAATATTTCTTTCCTAACCTGTCTGTGGCACTCAGGTCCGAGTCTATTCATTCCTCACGATGTAAATCCTTTAAAACAAGTGATCTGCTTAAACAGCTCGGCAATGTTTTAACAAACGTCACTCAGACAGGAATATTCCTGCTTTTGTTGGGGACTACTTTCAGCAGTGGAATAAGTCTGTTTTGATATGGTCATGTCTAATGCATTAAATATGTGACTTGTGTCTGACTCGAATCCAAGTCACGTGACTTGACTCCACACATCTGCAAAGCACCGACACTAAACCATATTTATGCCTCCGCGCCGGCGACAGCCGTGGCATTATGTTTTTAGGTTTTCCATTCTCGTGAACGCGATATCTCAGGAACTCTTGGAAGGAATTTCTTCAAATTTGGCACAACCATCAACCTGGAAACAATGATGAACTGATTAGAAGTTGGTCATCTGTAACCTCCATAACTCAAGAATTGACAGGCTAAATATGAAAATGTTTAATAAGATAAAGGATAGGATGGAGTGATGACATTTTGGACATGGAGGTAAACTGCAACACAACTGGTTGGCGGAGGCTTGCAACCGTGATACCGTAATTCTTGTTTTAAGTGTCAAATGAAACATTATGTAAAGTAAATCCTAAGTGAGGGAGTCTCACCCGCTGCGTCTTGCAGTCGCTGCTCCTGTTTTAGCTGACTGAGCACACTTATCAGAGTCGGCCAGTGAGCCTTCGTAATTGGTTGTCTCCTCTCCAGTTCTTTCCCTCTGTCTCCTTAGCTCAGCACTGCAGTGTTGTCAGTCCCACTGGGACTTGTTTCATGGCTGCACTCCCACCCACGCACACCAACACGCACACACACACACACACACCAACACGGTACTGTACCCTGGCAAACAAAAATACACAACCTCACACAAAGGCACCAAGTGGCACGTATAAGCATGTCTATGCACCCCACTAAAATCTTACCATCCATCCCTCTATTTGCAAACACCAATACTACTAACTCTTATGCATCGCTCCCTCTCTCTCTCTCACACTCACACACACACACACACACACACACAGGAACCAACAGTAGGCAAGTGGCTACATATATGCTTCTCATTAGGCCATGATGAATTCAGTAAGCTTGACTTGAGGCCCTGTAGAGCCTTAAGGTAAAGTACACCTAATAAAAAGTATGACATACACATAGGACATACATATACAGACACACAAACACCCCCACACTCGCAAAGTGGTGTTCATCACTCAATTCATTAGTCAAATGTGCCTGTCAGTCAATTAATGTGGTTTACTGCACCTGTCAACAGTCTGTATTTGTTTGCAGGTGGCAGTCCTTCACTAAATCTCAGTTATCGTTATATCATAGCACACACACACCACGCACCAGAGCAATGCAAACACACACACACCTATAGATCCAGATTTTTCACCCTGTGAATCAGATTTGACGGAATCGAGAGCTTAGCGACAACACGTGTGCAAGGCAGGGTTACTATTTTCAGTGCGTGGAAGAGAACATGCAGTGGTGTATGAGAGAAGCACTTCTAGTCGATGCTCTTTGCTGCAGCTGGAAAAAAGCAGAGCAGAAATATGTTTAATTCATGAAAGTGAGTCTGAGTCTGAGAGCAGCTTTTCTAAAGACAGTTGATGTGAATGTGTCTCAGAAAACAACTTGCACAACACAGAGATGCATGCAGTCAGTTACACGTGGTGGAGGGAGTTTCGGGGCATTGTTCCCGAGTGATGAGCTCACCTTCTGGGTGTCAATGGCCTGTCAATGCCCAGAAAAAAAACTCAACCTGTGGCAAGACGGCAGCCCATTACCCATTACCCTGTGTGTCTCTGAGTGGACAAGCAGAGCTAATGAGGGCAGTGGAAATTGATCGTGTTTGATGCTGTGGTAACAAGTCAGAGGACAAAGTAAATAGAGAGAGAGAGGAGGATATGCTGCCAAACATGCATTATTTCATCATCTTCTCATCTGCAATGTTGATTTACTCTTTTCTTGCAAATGTAACTTGCTGTAAATGTGAATATCGTTAATCTAGCTGCAGAGGTGGAGATCTCTTTGCACTGCATGGCTTGTAGAGCAAGGATAAACGGAGGCTTAATCGATTTCCATTGATGATCTTTTGCTGCCCTTTACACTATGATTCTTATTTGAGCTGGAAACTGATTTTGCAGAATGTATAATGTGAAATGAGACACATTTTCATTTACAAACACTGTAGTTGTTTGAGTTTTAAAGATTTAAAAATAGCGGTCAAAATAATGTACCGGTAATAGAAAAACATTTTCTCATTGAGTTTTGTTCGGCCTGTCTGTGCTGTCCCTCGGATGGTTTCATCAGTGAGGCGAGTTGAGTCAGGGTGTTTTTTCTCTCGCTAAAAGGGCTGAGGAGGATTAGCAGAGATTTTATTTTTTTTTTCTTTACCAGGTCTTCGGTATATGATCAAAACATGCCCAGTGGAGCTCATTAGCAGACCGAGATAGAAAGTGTATACCACCTCTGACCATCACAAGGACTTAAAACTGCCTCACTTGGCTTTCTATTAAAAGTTCTCGGTCGGAAAATAAAGTGTCTGATTATTCTGGGAAAATAATAAGAGTGGAAATGCCTTTAAACACATCAAACGCCACTGATCACGTGGCCGTCACGGGTTGAGGCTGTTTTTGAGGAGGAGGGGGGGGTTGTATATGAAACTTTACTGCATCTAGCTCACTTTTAGGAAAATCCATAATTTATTGACTTTGCGATCATTTTGGCAATTCTCTGAACCATTTAAGAAAGCTTGTTATTAATTATTTATTCGCTGTATTTGAATTCACAAGAGCAGCAGAGAATCTTTGGGTCTTTTGGGAGATCACAGAATAATTTATGTTGCTATCGAGCTATGTATTTGAGTGAGTGTTGCAGTTATGTAAGAGTGTTGTTGCTGTCAGACTAATAGCACCCTACAGATCTATGAGGAGATGTTTTGGCAGGCTAGGTTTTTGTCTTCTTTTAGTTTTCTGACTGGATTCACCAAAGCGAACCACTGGTGCTCAAATGTTCAGAGCCAAAAAATGCCTTTTTCTTCTCTTTATTTCATTGACTATATGTAGTGAGGCAAGTATTAAAAACTTAATAGCTCAAACTATCTTTTATATCTTTGTGTGCTGTTTTTGTGTAGCCCTTTCTATTAAAACCATTTGAGGGCTCAAGTTAAAAACAACTCTAAGGACTAATAATGTGCGGTATATAAAGTTTTACAGGCAAATTAGATTTTAACAGATGCCGGTGGAACCAAAGAAACAAGTCCTGAAAAGCCTTCTGTAGAAGAAAATACATTGTTTGCCTCTGTTGCAGGCCACCCTCGCTTTTTATCCAGCCGGGTGCAAAGCTGATTTCACCAATCATTGTTCCGTGTCATTACCGATGAGTCACAGTTGATTTATGACTATGACTGATGCTGATTACAGTGAATACCGCACAGTCACTGTTTCCCCCCCAAGGAAAGACACATCCGTCTCAATATGAAGCCGGGGCAAACTGGCTCGCTTGCTCCATAATGAGAGTTTAATTTCCGCATATGCCAACGAGTGTTATTAAGAAACACCTTGTAATTTACACAGCGAGATGAGGTGGTGATTTATTTTGTCCCATTGAATTATCAGGTTCTTAACCTTTCTTTATAATTGGTTCAGTCTTGATCAATACACTAACGGTATTATTGTAATAAATAACACAGTTATTTATTTCAATATATTTTCTGCAAATCAAATTGTGCATTTACAGCATTTTCTGCAAAACTGCTAGTACAGTTAACTGTCACTGAAACAAATATTTTTACACACAAATATACAAATATAGACCACATCTACATAAATAGATCATAAAGAGGAATTATGATAAACCTTGACTGAAAGGCAGCAGAACTTAATCCGGCGTATCATACCTTCTTGGATTAATTTTAAAGGATTAGGAAGGAATCATAAAGTCAGTAAAGGGACTCAGTGTTGTCTGATAGAACAGCCATATTGCCTGCAATTTGCTAACATTAGCCACCATAAAATACCGGACCAAGTAAAGCTGTGGCAGCAAAACTGCTGAGTCTATTTGGATTGAGCAACAGTGTGTAATTACATTCAACTTCTGATTTGTAACTCTTGTTTTTACAATCATAATATAACATCTTAATTAGGGAGAATCTTTATATTTCTACCTTTTGACAGGGCCAAGTTGTTTCTCACGTCTATATTTGTTTATGCATCAAGTTAAACTGGTATTAATCTTCTCGATTTGGCAAGAAAGCTAATTTCCCTTAATGTCAAACAATTCCTTTAAAAATGCTGATGTTTTTGAACTGACTCAGTGACCAATTTAAAGACAGAAACAACTAAAAGTCACCAGATTCTAAGACCAAAAGTCTTGATTTTCACTCCAACCAACCATGGTAACAACTATTTTCACTGACTCATACCAAACAAGAACTGATCAGATAAGAGCAGTTACTTGTAAAAACAAAAAAGCAAACAAACAAAAGGCCACACAATTATTGCCTTGGATCTAGTCCCAATTATAATCCAAGTCACACTCTGACATTAGCCGCTAGAAATGCCTCAGGCCATTTGAGTTTGTGAGCTACAGTCGGCAAAGGTCAAGTCAAATCTAATTTCCCCATCATGAGTCAATTTATCCTCATACAACGGTTTGTATGATCGCGTACAAAAAGTTATGTTTCATTATTTCGTGCGTTGTCCTACGACTGTCCAGCGATCATTGGACCTGCACAAGCTCCCGCAGTGCAGAACCTGTGTTGGCACCAAAACTACCTGGTTAGGTTTATGAAAAGATCACAGTGTGGATTAAAATAGGTACATTTGTTGCCTGACTTACTAATGTAGTGTTAGTATACAACGTAACACAGCTAAGGTGATATAAGTCACAACTTGGTTCTGCACAGGACATGAACATCAGTCTCCTGGGTAAAAGTCCTGTGCTTGTTTGATCCATCCATCCATCTACCCTCTCCAAACTCCTATCTATGTGGACTTTGTCACTGTTTGGAATACGCCACCTGACTTCCTTAAAGAGAGCCCCGCACGTCCTGTGAGTTCTATACAAATTAAATGACATTACTTTCGTGGGTATAAGTAGGAACAGTGAATGATATCGACCTGAATGGTTGAAGTCAGCAAACATCAGTTGTTAATTGGTAAGTGAAGAAGACAGACGGACACAAGACAAGGAAAAGCTGCAGAACATGCAGCAATTATTTCAATGATTAAAAAAAAGTCTATATTGTAAAAAAATATTTGTTTTTCTTTTGGCTTAATATTTCATTTATTATTATTTATTTTCAATGCAATACAGCCAACTCACAACTAGAAACATGTTATTATTTTAAAGATTTTATTTTTGTTGCCAGGTTTGCTGTGCACATTAAGTTTATGGACTCATAAAAGGAACATGATTCAGCTTTATCGTTCTTGGGTCACGTCAGGAAATTAAACTACCCCCGTGTTATAGGTACAAAGGCAAGGGCATACACACAGATATGATTATGCGTGTGAGTGTGTGTGTGATTGCTTGTGTGTATGAAAGCCATCTGGATCAAAGCTAGAAAGATAGCACACTACATTAAACCCTCACACACTTGCTGTGGTGGAGACATATTTTGGGTGTCCCTGTCCTCTTCAGTCAGACAAGAAGAGAGAAAGAAATCACCAGAGGATGAAGTGTGAGGTAGGTTAGATCGAAGGAGGAGGGAGAGGGAGAGGGAGAGAGAGGGAGGTGCCACCATCGACTGCAGCAGAAAATTGAGCGAGCGGAGAAAATGGGGGAGGGCAGTGTGGTGATGAGAGATGGAGAAAGAGAGGGAGAGAGGGAGAGAGTGGCAGCATTTGCTCACTGCAGAGCCTTTCATTGATAAAGTAGCGCTGGTGTGAGCCAGAGGACTGCAGCTGGACACATCACACACACACTACTCTCATACAAACACTTCCTGGGTGTTTGTTTACAGGCTGACACCACGGCATCGGCATCAATGCATTCACTCACAGTGCACTCCAAACAGCACCACTGAGGACACATACACACACACACACACACACACACATACACATCACATGCTGAGACACTCTTACTGATACGGACATCCTCGCAGACTCCCCCTCCTCTTCTCCCAACCCTCTTTTGGGCATGGGAGCATAGTTCGGTAACAACAGGGAAGAGACACCTGAGGAGCAAGGAGTTGGTGCATCTGATCCGGGATCCTTGGATAAAAAGAGGCTGTTATAGGTGCAGTGGAACCAGCCAACACACCAGTATAAAGGTATGGAATGACGAAGGCATGTGTGCATGCATTCTTATGCCTACAGACACACTTTGGAGGGATATGTAAAGATGCTCTGCATGTGAATACACTTACACACGCATTGGTAAACTTCACACACACACACATCAGACAGCTTACTGAGATGCTTTCTGACTCCGTGGCTGTAAACAGAGCTGTTTTCTCCTCACAGCAACAGGAGCTGGCACCTTCCTTCGCCTTCTTCGTCTCTCCATCTTTTTGTATGCATTCTCTCTCACATCCTCCCTGTCTTTTTTCTCCATCCTGACCCCTAGTTGTTTCAGCGATATCATTTTTATTGCAGCGTCCTGCCTCTGTCCCTCTTATTTTTCTAGTCCATCTGTTTTCTCCACCTCCACCTCCTCTCACTCTCTTTCTCACACCCTCTTTTTTGCCACCTCTCTCTCTTTCTCTCTCAACGAAGGCGCATCCCTATCATTTTATGTGCCGCGCTCGCACTCTTACTCCTGCCTTAATCAACTCTTCCTCTTTCTGTTTGAATCCCTGTCAGTCGCTCCGTCACGCTGGGATCTACGGAGGCAAACGGAGTGCCGGTGTCGGCCATGAAGCTGGTGAACGGGGGAGGAGGAGGCGGGGGAGGTGGAGGAGGTGGGGAGAAGACTGCCTTTTCCTTTAAGAAGTGCTCTGCTTTCCAGTTTGTCAAGAGAAAGGTCAGTTTGGGTGACACACACACATTTTGGGATTGATGCACCTGCGAGTGTGTCTGCCTACACATGCACCTACACCACCAGAGTGGAAAATAGGTTGGCAGTAGGAGGAGGTGTCACAGCCGGAGTGTTCCCTCTCTCTCCTTGTGTGTGTGTGTGTGTGTGTGTGTGTGTGTGTGTGTGTGTGTGTGT